CATGAAGTAATTTATTAGGATCATTAGTCTTTTTTGAAAAATGGCCTGTAATAAAAATTAAAAAGAGTAATCATTATAAAGGTTTGAAAGTGAAAACCTTATTGACCAGAGTAGGCATACTTTCTGTAATCGCAAAGCAATCCAGGCTATTGAACTCCAATATCACATAGAGCATGACCATCAAACTTCTGTTCGCTTCATTGCATTGTAACTGGAGTAGGCCAGAGACCACTATCTTGGGTGACAACTGCATTGGTCAACTCATAAAAAATATAAAAAAAATTGACTGGACGATTTACAGTTAGTTTTCCTAATTTTTATAATATAATTTTTGATTATTAATGAGTGCCTTTGAATGGGAAACCTCTAAAACAGTAGAGAATAGAATTGTGAAGAAATAGTGGCACAAATACGGACATGAGACTATCTTTTCATTGAAAAGGAGGGGGACCTAATTTGTGGACTTTCTCTTGAAAATAACAGCGTAACAAACAGTAACATGATAATGGTTCGTTTTGCCATTATGGACAAGTACATGCTTCCTTTACACATACACACACATTTTTTTTGTACGAACACCCGGAATCCTAGGCCTACTTCACATTCATTGTGAGAACTTGATGGAACCAAGATTAATCTGGATCGATGAATGACAAGTATTATAGGGATAGGCATCCATAGTTGCATATGTTGTTGCATTTTCAGAATTTAAATTCGAGTTCTTTGATTAAATTGGAACAACTCTTCCCTGTCAATCAAAGCACTTCTGGTTTTTACACATTTGTTGAATGGACCTCATATTTATATATTTCAGCTATTTGCTTTTTTTATCCATTTTTCGTGTCCCCTTTGCATTCTACAACTGACTTTTAAAATTCTTCTTTTTCTCAGCCTGGTTGCAACTTCTTGCGTGTAACTTTTTAGCTGCCACTTTCATATTCATGATTTGAATCAGCATCATTTCGCACTAGATTGAAAGCAACGAGAAAAGATTAAAAAGTGATGATCAAACCTACAAAAAAATATTATCCATATTTTTGTGGGGATGTCTTGTATAGTTGTAAGATATCATATTGCACAGGGCAATGGCATGTGAACAACAAATAGAGTCCAATGAAAACGGTGTAACGGTGATAAATGTACAGTGCCTTGCACAGTTGTTTCAACGCTCCTATCATTCATTCTTCATTATCATCCCCATCATCATTATTTTTATTTTCTGACACAATCATCATTCGCTAGAAATTCATACATACACATTCACTGCATTCAGATACACAGGGCTCTCAGATTCAAAGTATATATATGCATGCTGATACCCCAATGGACTTTCTTTGCCGATCAGAGCGAAAACCTAACCAAAATGGCAAAAGACCAAAAAGAAAAAAGAATATATATATATATATATATTTGTGGTCCATGTATATCCGCGACATCATATATAATGAAACTTTATTTATTTATTTATTTATTCATTCATAAATTACCTCTCTGTTTCGAGACCTGAGGTTCACAAGGACCTGGTTCTCTGATCATAGCCTGTTTGATTTCCCTGACAGTTGAGTGAACTTGCTCATTTGCAAAAGAATACATGGTGTAAATTATTGTAAATTTCTGTGAGAATTTTTCTTGCTGTAATTCTAATGAACTTGCAGGAATGTTAGAAAACCAGAGCTTCAGGGGGTAATATGTTCTGATGAGAAGTCTGCTGTAAAATCACATCAAATAGAATTAAGAAGACCACGACATGCCTTGCAATTCAGAAGTGAAACTTCTCCGAGACTCATAACTTCAATACACAAAACAAAATGGAGAAATAGATATTCCTAAAACGAGGGCCCAAAAAAAAAAAACAGAGAGAGAGAGAGAGCCCCTATCGACAATTTTATGGATCCACTGGAACCCCATTATCTAATTTGACAGCTACCTAGAAGTAAACCAGAAAAGAATCTGGTTGAGACGAGGAGGTTCTGGAGGAAAGACGAAGATTCCTGAGACCGCCAAAGCTTAAACGACGCCGAGGAATGAGGCGCTGTGTCACCCTCGTCAGAGCCACCGTGTATTCTCCCAATATCTCCGTCATAACCGCCACCATTATCATCTTTCGGCTTCGTGGCCCTCAAAAACGAGCTTTTTCCCACTCTCTTCTCGGAGAAGAAACCAGAGGCTGTGTGGTTATGGGGGTCTGAATCTGATGGTAATGTAACGTGAGGAAAAGTAAGGCGAAGGCTAAAACATATAAAGAAGCACTCAGAGGTGGGCAAAAAGGTTTTGAACTCTGGCACTTTCTGGCAGAACCAGTGAATCGGATTACATTACTAAAAGAACCACAAGATAAAATTATCATAATGACCAAATCAAGGGGTGGTTAGTCGCTGAATTACGGCTTCACATGTTATTTCATTATTATTGTAAGCCACGAGGTCTGTTTGTCTGGCCAAAATATTCTCTGGGGCCTTGATTACGCGTAAGGGTAAGGTAAGTAAACTCGACGGAAGTGTTAAAAATGAAAAATGTGAACTTATTCATTTCTTTGTTGTTATTCTAAACCCTCAACGTGGGCGAAGCGTGGCTTTTGAATAGTGGAGTGAGATGGAAGTTTGGTAGAAGCGTGGTTTGGTTTTATGTGCCGAGGCTTAATGCTTTTTTGGAAAATGCCAAAGAGACCGGAGGCTCCTTCCCTCCCACATGTTTCTCGAATTCTGATCACCACCACATGTGATGTGGCGGAAACTGAACATGGATGACCACCTTCAACAACTTTTCTCGGTAGGGACACAACACAACAACGCATGAAGGCCTGATCATGTGCGATCTCAAAGTCCTGTGCTGCGATGCGAGTGATTCATGAGTCATGACCTGTTTGAGAACAGAGAAGACTGTGTAGCGATGAATCTCTATTGACGCTGTTGAACTGAATGTTACTCGGACACCTCGTTGCTTGTCTTTGAACGAGAAATATCAAATTTGAGCACAAAAGCTCCCCGTTTTGTGCACTAACTCCGTGCCGACAGTTAAAGGGGAAGCAGACAGACAGTGTTCACGAAACCATTTTTTCTTGGGAGAGTGACACTAAAGTTTCATGATAAAGAATTTATTACACTTTTTTTAACCAAAAGAATTTATTACACTTAGATCCTGACAAAATTTTTTTAAAAATAAATTATAAATATTAACTCAAACAATTACAAACATAAATTTTAATTATAAATTAAGAGTTATATTTAAAATTTAAATATTTTATTTTTAATTATGATTCCTAAATTTATAACTGTTTGAATTAACATATATAAATAATTTTAAAATTTTTTTTTTGAGACCTAACCATCATAGATTTATTTTTTTTGGATTTCAATATCATTCTTTTTTTTTTTCTTGGCCTTTTCTGGGGAAGAAACGCTGTTGCATGCACCATGTGCATTAAGGTGTCAATGAAAGTGGTTATGTTAGCCAAAGAGTCAACGGTTAGGTTTGCTTTGATTTTTGCAGTAGATTTAGTGGAGAATGTCAAGTCATACCATCAGGTATTTTAATTATCTGGTAGGGATTGATCTAGCTTAATTAGAGATTTAGAATTCAAACCTTAAATATGTAACCGGAGTTAAATATTCAATAGAAAACATATCCTCTAAAAAGGTGCCCGCTAGTTACTGACAGGATTAATTCGGGTAAAATACCTGAAATACTGAAATCATGCTGGAAAAAAAAAAGAATATCAAGGCATGGGAATTTTTATTTTCTGCATAATTCTGATATGATAAGATTGGACCATGGGAAGCAAGTCATGAACCAGCTTCAAGATAGGGCATGGTGAGAGCGGAGGGGCGAAATTTGAACATGAATGCTGACCCACTACGCTGTGGCGAGAATATGCGATTGTGATCAACAAATTAGCCAATATCGTGCTCTTTTTTGGACCATGGATTAGTTATATTGCTGTAACTATTTGAAAGTTAATTACCGAAACAAAACAAAAAATAAAAAAATCTCGTGGATGCCTATCATTGTTGACAGTAACATCAGCTACATTTGTTTAAATATTAATCATCACCAAAAATATTTTTATTTTCCTTATTCCTTTAAAATAATTAAAATTTATCAGGGATAGTGGATAAGGCTTTTCAGGATTTCACTTTCTGGTTCTTGTGTGCATCTATGTTGTCCGTGAAAGCTGGCTCCATTTTGTTGGGCTCCACTGCCTTTATGTTGTTTTTTCCCAACCCTGCAAACGCCTCCTCCTCCAGAGAGAAAATTTTAAGTTTTCAATGCATTCTCTGAAGTTGGTGTGTTACTTTCTTTTAGAAATGGATCCTCTAAAGATTAAAATTGAGAATCCCTGAATTTCATGAGATTTATTTTTCAAGAGATAGAGAAAATTTTGTTCTTTATAAAAAATAATAAAATGAGAAAAATATAAAAATATATATTCACAGAAATTCATGAATCTCAATTTTAAACTTCAATTCACTGTTGAGTTACGTAAATTTTAGAGGATTTCTTTTGACCTTCACGTTAATTTTAGAGGATAAAAGAAATATATAATAGGTGAGTATATTATACTAATGAAAAATTGAAAACTTGGTCCCTCCGCCAGTGTCCAACTTTAGAAGATCTTCATTGAGGAAGAGTTACGATTGAGGACGCCAAGGGTCTGTTTTTCAGACGGATGATTTTTCAGTTCTTCAAGAGGCTCTCACTCGTATGTTTTGAAGTGGACATTATGGATGTGCACCCAAGCCTTATATGAGGCCCTTTTCTTTGAGGCCTTTGTTCATGAAGAGGGTTGGTTCATCATGTGCAATGTTCTTATCTTCTTGAAAGAAGCCCAGCCAACCCAATAACACTCTCTCTCCCAAGTCCCAACCCCAACAAAATGTTCTGTCCAATTAATTTAGATTATGGAAGGGATAGGCCTTCAAAGATACGTAGTGCCTTTGACTGAGGTAATTCAAGTGTGTGTTTTTCGGATGGGCAGTGACGTGGACGAATGCAAAGCTACGCAGAAAGCTCAACGATATATTATTGATGAACTTATGAATATGTGATCCTATTTTGATACACATGTCCACCAACCCAGCTATAAAAATCCCTCATTGGTGGAACTCGGTACTTGCAATCAAGTTCGAAACTGTTTCCCTCTCTTCGCATTTACGAGATGCAACATGCATTTGGGTTTTCATCACTAAGAGCTGAGGAGGTGGGATTCGTTCAACAACATAGAGTGGTTGGAAAGGATAGTACATCATCTTCTTCATCCCTTCGTCTTCCATCTCGGTCACCTCTATTTGTTTTCCTTCTTCTTCCCCGCCCTTTTCCTCTTTATTATTCTCACTCTTATTTTCACCACTTCCATCACCTCCGTCTGCTGGTTTCTCCTCCTCTTGTTTCTCTTCTGGCTTGACCTCTTCTGCTTCTTTCTTTTTCTGGTTCTGGTTCTGCTTGTGGGACTATTTTTGCCTGTTTTCTAGTGCTCCTGTATACATAATCCACTAGCTTGTTCGCATCCATCGTCCCTGTCACTGTCACCTTCCCTGTGCTCAGCTGTGTCTCTGCCCTTTGCACTCCTGCATTAAATTTATGAGAACACCTTACATTAGTACGCAATTATATAAACATAACCAATAACCATGAATTTATTAAACAGAACCTTCACTATTCATGCACAAAGCATTATCAGTCATGTGACAACCGAGTTCATGAAAATAATATGTTAAAACTAACTAGAACTTTGCTTTATTAGAAAGATATAATAGACGCGAGGCTCGCCTGAGTGAGTGAATTTGAATCTCACTATAGTTTTTATTTATCGGGTCGTTTTATCTTGTATACAAATTTTTAACAAATGGATCCCACAGTCCAGAGAGAAACTTTGCAAGAACTATCCCGCATGATTCTTTTTGCGTTTTGATCTAGGTGCAAGCTGAGTAGGACATGGACCGGGGGGTCCTTCAATGTTAGTGTTACCGACCTATATTTGAAAAATTGCACGCCACGTCAGAGGGTTCGCCATCAGACAGATTCTGATTGGACAATCTGAGTGGGGATCGAGTAAAAGCAAAATGAAGATGCCACGTTCAGGAGTGGTGATTCATACTTTATGGTATTCACCTACTTTATAAAATTTCGTTGTTAGGTCATAAAGTTGGCTTGTCACCATCACAAAACTGAACTGAACGTTTACGCACAAATCAAAATTAATCCTTAAGAAAGAAGTTGTCCAACTTTTCCCTTTCTATTTATCACAATCTGATTTCAATCACAATCAAGAGTGGAGTTAGGACATTAAAATGGAGTTTAAAGAGATGAAAATGGTACCTCTCATTTTGAGTATCTTTTTCTTCAGTTGCTCGGCACAGGCCTCACAGTGCATGTTCACATTAAGTTCCACAGTTACAGGCTCACCAACCTGGAACATCAAAACAATTAACTAATAGTTAAGCCACTGTCTAAATATTAAACATCCTTAACTAAGGAAGAAAATTTAAATTCTTAAAGTTGGTTATACCTGAGAAGTTACAACCTCTGGTACAGGTTCTCCTTCTGCTTCAGGCAGTGGAGATATGATTTTGGCTCTTCTCTTTAATTTCTTGGTAATTCTGTTGCAGATTGCTTGAGGCTCCACTATTCCCTTTATGGTCACTTCATTTTTAGCCATATCAATGACCACTTCCTCAACCCCTATTAAAGATTAAAAAAAATAATAAAATCAGTGCACAATCACATGCATGCATGGAATCTGGAAGAAAAAGTACGAGAGGGGTGAAAGATCAAAGATGTGAACCTCTCATTTTCATAATCGACTTCTGAATTTTCTTGGCACATCCCATACAATGCAGGTCCACAAACAGCACGCAAGGTGATGGTGGTTTGGGCTCTTCCTTCTTCTCTTTTGCTTTCTCTTCTTGCTTCTCTTCTTTCTTCTCCTCTGTTTTCTCTTCTTGCTTCTCTTCTCTCTTTTCCTCTGCTTTGTCCTCTACTTTGGGTTGTTCCTGCTCAATCAAATGAACAATCAGCATTATATGAAAAAACTAATGCAGATGCAGTTAGCCATGAAAAAAAGAAAAAAACCCAGAAACCAGAGAGAATGAGAATGATTATGATAAAGAATTATCACCTGTTTAGCTTCCTCACCCATTATCACTGAGATATGAAACTACAATTCAGATTTGAGAAGGAAAGGCCTCAAGAGACACAAGAGATCGATGAAGAGGGATGGCAAATATGGAGAAGACAGTGATAATATAAGGAAGGAGAGGGAGTATAATAGATGGCCGGTGGATGATTAGAAATTTAAAATATAAAGCTATAACTGAGTGATTCCACAGCACATGCAGTGCCACTAACTGTACAAAGAACCTCTTATAGTTTAATATTTCTTTTTGGAATTGTTCTCAATCTTCGAGGCACGAGGTTGAGGGGGGGAGGAGGAGGAGGAGGGGAAAACCAGTGGAGAAGAACTAGCAGTTTTATAGACAGAAAAAGGGGTTGATTATTATGGTGGTGAGAGAGAGAGAAAGAGAGAGATACATAAAAAGCATATTTGAAAATGATAATACTTCCATCACCCACCGACTGGTAGAATTTTCATGACCAGGTGGTGAAGTGTCATTCTGCCAGACATGCATGGCTTATTGTAGCCGTGGGGTCTCACTGCATTCTAGGACAACCTAGACGCCAACCTAGTTGTGTTTTGAGTCATATTCTCATTTATTAACCTTTAACTTTACTAAACATCTGTGATTATAATAATGCTAGAATGTTCAAGCAAATCAGAATGCAACACCTAAGTTAAAAGTTAGTGTCAAGATTCTCTTCGTGTGGCTGAGCGTTTTATTATATATAAAATTTTGCAGAATTTATTACTTCTTGAATTGGAAGTTGGTCAGGTTTTATTCTACAGTTAACAGGGGTGGCATGGCTTTGGGTGAGGATCCACCAGAAATCCAAGGAAAGAATTAACTTTATTGTTATAATTAAAATCATCGATCAGTCTAATATTCTTGAGAATCTTTCTCTGCTAACAACATAACTGCAATAGTTAAAAACAATTGCCGCACATCTTTCTTCCCAGAAGACAAAAAAAATGGCCTATACAAATTTTATTCTACCTAAACTAACCAAAACTATCAACTATATTTAAAACCTGCATATACAAGAGATTCTGCTTGTTTAATAGTTTAACAAATGAATATAAGTTAATTTTTTCTTTTTGAGTGAAAAGCAATTTAATGAGAAATGGGAAGAGAAAAAAATAAGCAAGAGCAGTGGGAAGATATTACATCTTAACTCAAATTAATATAAAAGCTTTAAGTTTACATAGGTTCTTATTCTTTATTATCATTAATTATTAAATCTAATTTTATCTCACTTCTGGCTTCAACTTAAGTTTACTATTACTTGAATAACCCATATTTGTCCAATAAAAAGAGGCAGATGTAATGAATGTGATCACATGCCTGTTGTGATTTCTCAAAACGAGATTTCAGATGAAGCATCTACGTCGTGCAGGTTAGAGCTTAAGCAACGTAATTCTCATTTTCATGTAAGTGTAGTTGGGATGATCGAAACGTGGGATCCGAGAAGTCCCTTCGTTTTGCGTGTAAAAGCTAAAGAAAGTTGGTCTCCACGTGGGATGTCACTCATCATTCTATCACAACCTTAATCTCTTCAGTTACGTCTTTTTTTCAACTCACGTCAGTTAAGACAAATGAGTAATCCTACAATATTAACAGTATTAAACCATGTTATCTTGCGACATCTGGTTTGGTATACTTCTCGTTCCAGTTCAATCATTACAGCAAATAAAAGCCATCTCAGAAAGCTTACCACAAAGAGGGCTTTTTGACAGGAGAACTGCATAGTGCATATGTCTGCAGAAAGACGAGCTGAGACTTATAAGGTGAATGTAGCAACACGTGGAGATGAGTCATGAAAGCATTAAAAGAAGTCCCATTTGTACGCTATGCATGGTTAATTTCGGTGACAGATCTCAACCACTAGATCCTAAAGATAAAGACATTGTACCAACAAACACATGGTTGCTGTATCTGATGCAAAAGCTAGGCGTAGTGTAGCCAAAAAGGATTTGCTGCCGAAGAGCATGTAGGTTGACCTTAGCTGCTCTGGCTTGTGCTCTTCGACGGAAATTAAAGCGGATTTTGATCATGTGGTGACAGTTGTCTAAATTTTAAAAAAGAGAGTGGTCTAGAGATCTGATATGAAGGGTATGTAGTCTGGTTGAGAAACATCTTCATGGTTGATTGGCTTTGATTAGTGAAGCAATCACCTTCTAAATTAAACCACCCAATTTTTAATATGTTAAGGTACTGGTCTTCAAAACTTCAGAATCAACAGGTGAATAATTCATATGCTTTCCAAAGAAATTAAATAATCTTTTCAAGAAATTAAGATATGCTCCCTGGTTATAAATCACGTTGTAGAAGTCTTTTTTTTTTTTCCTGTCTAAAATACGCATAACTTTTGGGTAATATTTGATGCATTGATTTTTTTTTTATTGTTTTACCCTTGGCTGCGACTAAGAAGTAATTAATGTTGTGTTATAAAGTAGTATTTCATTTGTTGATCTTAAATATAAGAGCTAGTTGAGGGGTTGTTTTAATCTGAAATGTAAAACCTCAATCTACTTTGTCTCCCATTTTTGTTGCTTCTTCCCCAAACTACCTACCTATATTTTGTATTGCTTAAAAAAGTTAGATTTGTGTATTGCTATAAAGGCCAATAGAGAAATTATCAAATTAACACACTTTTTTTTGACAAATAATCAACTCAACTAATTTTTTTAATCTAAGTGAATTAATTAACTAGCTCTTATATTTAAGATGAGAGGAAGTAATTTAATGTACTTAATAAAAGCAATAATACAAAGTGTTGCAATTCTTTTTTCTAAAAATTTAATGAGCGAACCAATATCCCTATTCTTAAAACAAGCAGTGAAGTTAAACATTGATTGTTTTTTAGACAAGTGGAATAACATTCATTCTTTTCCCCCCAAAAAGATGGTATCTGACTCTGGTCTTGAATGCGATTCAAAATAGCTTGAACTGAGAAGTTGTTGGAAAGAGAAAATAAGATCCAAAAATTTAAAGTAATAATTAATGACTATGTTTAAGATAATCATGTATTTATGAGTTTTTTTTTAAAAACTTTGTGGGACAATATGTTTAACATGAATAAAAGCAGAGGGCAAAAATATGTAAACAAAAGTCACTTTTGTATTTTTATGTAAGACAAAATTACATAACATACATTGAATTGTCAATTTCAATATACATATAATTAAATATATGCATAACATATAATCTAAGATTAAAGGTCATTTTTATCTTTTAACTATTTATTCAAAAGTGTTTGGTATCTTAAATTTATATTTGGTGTAATTTTTCATTTAACATTTGAAAATGACACACTGAACATCATATTGTTTTAAAAAATTAATTTTAACTGTTAGGTACTAAAAAAAATAAAAAAAGGACTTAAAAATTATAGAAAAATGCCCATAAAATTACACATAAATATCTTATGAAAAATTATTATCAATTGAGTCCCAAACTAATGGTTGAATAGAATCATATTTCTGTCATTTATGTGAGTAAGAAATAACATTTATATTCTGTTATTTATATATAATTTAAAAAACTTAATTGATATTAATTTTTTTATATGATACTTAAATGTAAGTTTGTGGATCATTTTCTATAATTTAGACACTTTTTTGTAATTTTTAAGTCAATAAAAGGTTAAAGTTAACTCTTTTAACAATAGTGTTAAATGCACTGATTTTAAATATTGAGAGAAAAATTACACTATATAAAAATTTAAGATATCAAATACTCGTAAACAAATAGTTGGGAGGGCAAAAATAATCTTTAATCCTATAATCTATTAAGAGGTGAGAATAATGAGACTTCTCTCAAATTTCGTATAATTTTTCATCCTTTCAAATTTTCCACGTATTATTAGGCTTTGTGCAACCTTTTCTACTCGTTCAATTTTTTTTCACATAATTTAACAGGATAAGTAAACCTTAAAAGACATTTAATTTATTGCCAAATATTTCATAATCAATTGCTGTAAGTTAGATACACAGCTCTCTATTACATATAATAGAAGAAATAAATCGTAATATTAAAAACATGTCAACTTATTATAGATTTTATATTAATACGAATAATATTAACAACAATAATTAATATTGATTGATATTGATGACAATGGTTCCTTTTCATTTTCTTTTTGTTCACCGTTCCAAAAATAGACAACAGGCTTTATGTTTGAATGAGTTTGAGATCAATCGTATTGAATATGACTTACAATCATAGATGATTTGGTTTTTTTTTTTCCCTAAATTTTATAATTTTCTTAATATGATTATATGACTGAGTAAAATTCTAATATTGTCAAGTTCAATTAATAGTAGTCCTCTTAGAAACATTTTATGCATTTACTCAGACTCCTGTAGGTAAAATTTTTTTGGGCCAGAAGAAACTTGTTATCAATGATTGATCTTTGAAATTTCAAAGGACAGGAAGCATTGAGAATCTAATAAAGAAAATCATTGAGAAAAAAGCGTAAATCATTCGGCATTATTATCTAGGTACAAACTAATGCAGGGCATTATAAGACAGATGCCAATTTCATTATTGAATAATAAAAGAGATCATAACATAAAACTATGATGGCAGGATCAACCTTTCAATTTAATACCCCAAAATTAAAAAAATAATAATTAAAAGGTGAAAACAATAACCTTTCCATTCATATTTATAATAGAAAAAAACTAGTCATATTTTCTTATTTATTACATGATTTTTTTTAAAAAAATAGTCGATTCTATTTATAATTATAATTTATTATTTAACTCATTAATGGATTATTTGTTTTTTACCAGAACATTAATTGATCCAATTGGCTTCTTTGCATTCAGGTATTTTGCATTGAAAAATATCTATACATTACATGTCCTCATTATACTCATTATTTTTTTCTGTATTTTTCTTTTTTGAAAACACCATATACTTTTATTTTAGTAGTAGTATGGCATTTAGACTGTTGATTGAATAGCCAGTTCGAACAATAATTTGAAAATAAAAATGGATTTTTGACTAAAAGAATACTTTTTAATCGATCTTGATTCGAAAGGAACAAAAAATGCCTGAATGAAATTAAAATTAGGCAGTTTACACTTATTTTTATTTTTATTACTATATTTTATATTTTTTAAATTCAAAATAAAAATTTAACTTTAAAATCGATCGTTTAAATTAATTTTGGATAATCTAAATCTCATTTAAATGACAATCACATAACACAAAGTTCTTCTTGCCTTGGGTTGCATGCAACATGGAGCTATTTTACCTTGCCCCGTAATGAAAGAGATTTTTTTTTTTTTGGGGATTCAATGCTTATGCACTAATTA